CAATACCCGTCAAGTTCTAGATATTACCTTATTATTGATATTGCTATTGATTATTGGGTTAACTATCGTTTTGATTTCTTTAGATATTTTAATCAGACTCATACTCTTGAAAGTCTACTTCAACAATCAAATCTTTTTCAAAACTGAAAGACTGTAGTTTAGATTTAGGGGTTCTATGCGAAACAGCAGTCATGATGCAGTGGCTAATATTTGTACAAACTAACTTTAGATGATCTAAATTATGACGGCTTATTTTTTTAAAAGGGCTTGTTCCAAAAGATATGACAATGATTCGGGAATCCCAGGGGAGTCTGGGCACAAAACCAGTCACTGCTCTATCTGCTCGGAGTGACGGCAAAATCCACGAGAGTTGCTAACTATTTAAGAAATTCTGTTACTAACGAATATCCTTGAGGGCATATTCTTAAGTGAATACTCTCAAGTGACGAAATCTAAAGAATTATCAGATTTAATTTCTATGTAATTTAATAGGTGTATCAGCATGGATTGACTGCACCAAAACAAAACATCAAAACATTAGGTTAGGTCAACATGTCAAAAAATCTGAAGTTACTTCGTAGACATGACAGGCTTGCGCCATGAAATGAACATGCGCAGAATACAGAAGGCTGTTCAATAATTGTAGAGCCTATTATATTCCACCAAAAAAAGTTGGAGAAAAAAAAGAAAACAAAAACGCCTAATGATACGACGTGGACTAAAACAGAATTTAAGTTTGACTATATAAAAATGACCTTATGTTCTTTGCGAGTGAATCAAGGAAATTTTAAATTTAAATTATTTCGGAACTCAAAAATAAATCTCTAAAGAAATACTAAACTGCAATGATAAATTTGATTATATGATAAAGAGATAATACGTATGAAATTTTTTACTTACATGGAGCCGCAGCACGCCAAAAAAAAAATCTTCCTTTTTATGTGGAATTCTTATAAATGAATCTTGATTTTAAAAATTAATTATTATCATTATTATTATTTTATTGTTCCCCCAGATTATCTTCCTTGCTCCAATTTTGTCACTTTGAACGTGAGAAAATTTCACTGATTGACGTGTCTGCGCTGGGTTCGGACCAGAAAACTAACGGCTTCCGCACAAACTCGACGAATCTTTCTTTCAAAGCGACTCCTGCGCGTGTGTTGAAAAATGTCGATTTAAAAATCGATCGCGGGCGGGTCATAAGAAGTTTCGTGAGGGGTTTTATTAATACAATTTTTAACTCAGATAATATTGCACTAATCAGTAGCGTAAACGCTACATGCACTGAGAATGGGATATAACATAAATGCACAGAAAACCAAGTATATCTATTGTACTAGATCAGGCAACCAGATACCTAGACTATTAATTGATGATCTGGAACTGAAGGTGTGGACACCTTCATCTACCTGGGCTCGCTGCTGACCAACGACAACAATGTCAGCGACGAAATTAAAAGAAGAACAGTGCTTGCCAATAAGTGCTATTATGGCTTGAGGAAACAGATGGCCCCAAAACTACCCAGAAAAATTCAAACTACCATATATAAAACACTAATAAGGCCAGTGTTAACATACAGGTCAGAAACGTGGTCACGTATACAGAACAACCAAGAACTGCTTAGACGTTTCGAGAGAAAAATTCTAAGGAAAATATTATGGAGAAGTCCAAGCACAGGGTTTGTGGCGTAGGCGCTACAACTTTGGATTATACAGAAGTTTTGGGGAACCTGACGCTGTAAAATGTATTAAAATTATTGTGTATACTTTATTTTTATAATAATTATTCACCTACTTACATTTAGACCCTACACTAGCATAACATTCTTTTCACGCTTACCTTAAGAAAACCACTTTATGCGTGTCCAGTTTAAACAATTAAATATTGTCAGTAATGTGCAGTAGATCGCATTCAGTGTAAGGTTTTTCCAACATAGGACAATTAACTAATTGTGTTTTATCTTGTAGTGTCCCACATTCAAACTGGTTAAAGAAGTTGTCCGATACCTCATACCAGCAAGAAACTGTCCTCATTTTTTCATGTTGGTTTTACACTTTTACAAACAGACTCGAAAACGATTAAGAATGTTCCACAAATGGTAAGAAGCTGGCTACCAGACAAAAGTTCCTCTTGATGATTTAGACGGCGAGTAATAGCTTCTTTTCATTTAGTAAGACGAGTTTTTGCAGTTGTATGTTGCAGATGTGTTGATCTGGCTAGAAAGCTTTTTCTTGAGATTAGTCTTCATGCTGTAAGCTGGTAGTAATGTGAAGTCAATGTGGCAAATTAAAAGTCTGTTTATTTAGTTTAACATCTCTAACTACTTATTTTCGGATATCACGTAAAGTGATAACTTCGATGGGATAAAGCTTATGAATGGGTGTGGGTCTCAAACATTCACTGATTATTGAAAATTATAGTGTTGAAGGATTTAATTACACCATTGATAGACGCAGATAATACAAGTGAGTTTACTGTCTAATGTGATGTCATATAATTTTTGGAGAAGTCCCGAATGATTTACGTTATCGTAAGCGACAGTGGGATCTACAAATACCGCTCTAGAGACAATGATTCGGGAATCCCAGGGGAGTCTGGGCACAAAACCAGTCACTGCTCTATCTGCTCGGAGTGACGGCAAAATCCACGAGAGTTGCTAACTATTTAAGAAATTCTGTTACTAACGAATATCCTTGAGGGCATATTCTTAAGTGAATACTCTCAAGTGACGAAATCTAAAAGAATTATCAGATTTAATTTCTATGTAATTTAATAGGTGTATCAGCATGGATTGACTGCACCAAAACAAAACATCAAAACATTAGGTTAGGTCAACATGTCAAAAAATCTGAAGTTACTTCGTAGACATGACAGGCTTGCGCCATGAAATGAACATGCGCAGAATACAGAAGGCTGTTCAATAATTGTAGAGCCTATTATATTCCACCAAAAAAAGTTGGAGAAAAAAAAAGAAAACAAAAACGCCTAATGATACGACGTGGACTAAAACAGAATTTAAGTTTGACTATATAAAAATGACCTTATGTTCTTTGCGAGTGAATCAAGGAAATTTTAAATTTAAATTATTTCGGAACTCAAAAATAAATCTCTAAAGAAATACTAAACTGCAATGATAAATTTGATTATATGATAAAGAGATAATACGTATGAAATTTTTTACTTACATGGAGCCGCAGCACGCCAAAAAAAAATCTTCCTTTTTATGTGGAATTCTTATAAATGAATCTTGATTTTAAAAATTAATTATTATCATTATTATTATTTTATTGTTCCCCCAGATTATCTTCCTTGCTCCAATTTTGTCACTTTGAACGTGAGAAAATTTCACTGATTGACGTGTCTGCGCTGGGTTCGGACCAGAAACTAACGGCTTCCGCACAAACTCGACGAATCTTTCTTTCAAAGCGACTCCTGCGCGTGTGTTGAAAAATGTCGATTTAAAAATCGATCGCGGGCGGGTCATAAGAAGTTTCGTGAGGGGTTTTATTAATACAATTTTTAACTCAGATAATATTGCACTAATCAGTAGCGTAAACGCTACATGCACTGAGAATGGGATATAACATAAATGCACAGAAAACCAAGTATATCTATTGTACTAGATCAGGCAACCAGATACCTAGACTATTAATTGATGATCTGGAACTGGAAGGTGTGGACACCTTCATCTACCTGGGCTCGCTGCTGACCAACGACAACAATGTCAGCGACGAAATTAAAAGAAGAACAGTGCTTGCCAATAAGTGCTATTATGGCTTGAGGAAACAGATGGCCCCAAAACTACCCAGAAAAATTCAAACTACCATATATAAAACACTAATAAGGCCAGTGTTAACATACAGGTCAGAAACGTGGTCACGTATACAGAACAACCAAGAACTGCTTAGACGTTTCGAGAGAAAAATTCTACGGAAAATATTATGGAGAAGTCCAAGCACAGGGTTTGTGGCGTAGGCGCTACAACTTTGGATTATACAGAAGTTTTGGGGAACCTGACGCTGTAAAATGTATTAAATTACCACGCCTTCGATGGATAGGACATGTAATTTGGCGAGATAAAGATGTAACGATCAGAAAAATTTGCAACCGCAGAGGGCCAGTGGGAAGACGATCCAGAGGAAGACCAAAACTTAGGTATCAAAATAACATCGAGGATGATCTAAAAATCCATCGGAGTTAAAGCATGGAAAAGAGTTGCCAGAGACAGGGGCAAATGGAAGATTGTTCTGAAGAAGGCTTTGGCCTATAACGAGCTGTAATGCCACTGATGATGATGATAAAATTAAATATGTATTCTCTTACCTAAAAAAATTATTTATGTGAATTTTATACTTTAATTTTTATAAGGATAGAAAAAATTGTTATTTATGATTTTTTAAAAAGATATGAAATCATCATCTAGTGTTATAAACTAATTTAGACACTAAACTAATTTAGTTCAAGACACCCGCCTCTAAAAACAGCAAAAAGGCTAGTAGATCAAAACTTTAATGTAACTGAACGGTGGAGAGAACAATGGGAGAATAACGCTGCACCAGCTAACTGGAACATGCCATGTATTACAAGCAAACCTGAGGGCTTCAACCAACCGAGACGAATTTGGACCACACTCAATAGAATAAGGACGAACTGTGGCAGATGTTCCGACTCACTTTTTAGATGGGGAAAAATACAATCACCAAATTGCGAGTGCGGCGTCGAAAGGCAAACAGTAAAACACATGGTAGAGGAATGCCCGATTAGATCCTATAATGGCAACCCTTCAGATTTCCTGGCTGCTACAAAAGAGTCAATCGAGTATATTTATAATCTAGATGTTTGTTTGTAGAATAATATTTTTTTATATTTACTGTTGTTTGTAATTTATATCATTTATATATTTATATTTATATGAACATGTGATGTAGCCATACGCTAAATAAAAATAAATAACTAATTTAGACGTAATTCTTAAAAATTAATTTATTTTGCAATTTTAGACGCCCCTGTGTGCAGCAAAGACTCAGAAGTCACCATTATTGGAGCATCTCTGGACGAAGTAATCAAGGTTAGATGTCAGGTATCCGCTGACCCGGCAGATGTCAGTTTCTTGTGGCAATTTAATAACAGCGGTGAAAGTTTTGATGTTTCTCCTGCTCGATTTGCCACCTCAAGTGGTAACGTCAGCGAACTAATGTATACACCGGCATCTCAAAGAGACTATGGAACACTTACCTGTCTTGGCTCAAATAAAATAGGTAGACAGGTGGAGCCGTGTATATTCCAGGTAAGTTTTAAGATAGTTAATAAATTAGAATATTGAAATCTAACACATTTAACAGACAATAAAAGAATATATGTAACAATAACTGTATTACAAAGATTGGATAAGATTTTATTATTTTTTCACTTTTTATTCTCATCCCCTTTGAATTGTGCTAAGCAAGTAATGGCAAATTTACCAAAGACTACATTTTTCCTGAGTCCACCCTATTAGACTTGTACACCCCTAAGAATGACATTCGGGGGTAACAATTCATTGGAGTAAGGAATTAACTTGTGCAATCAGGAACCACTTAGCCCCACCTTAATGCTTCAGAGTATCCTCCATACTCTGTTAATCTATGTTATTCTTGGTGATAATTTAATGTAGACTTCCTTTCTCTTCTTCTTGTCAAGAGTTCTTCTCATCACCTCGGCTTTCTCTTCGACTGAGTAGACGATTCCGTTTTCTCTGTTAAGTATGGGAATGGGTTTACTATCGTTTCTTAGTTCTTTGAGATCTCTATATTTCTAGCATATTTTAGCCCCTGTCTTTCACTTCTTTTACATAATTGTCCCACTTTAGTTTTCTATGTTCTATTAGTGCCTGTTTGACTTGTCAATTCACTTAGTTTGTCCTATTGTTATCTTCCAGATTTCTTGTTCTTCTAGCTCTGTTCTTTTCACTTATAATTTCTTTATCTCTCAAATAATGTCTCTAAATCTTCCTATGTGAATTTCATATTCTTCTCCCGTAGTGCTATATCTCAGTGCTTTTTTATAATGTTTTAGAGCTCTAGGGCTTTTCTCGTTATTTCTTCTGGATTGTCGATTGTAGGAGCGTTTAGCCATTGCCATATCCAAATAAGTTGGTAGAGCATTCTCTGGAAGGTGGGTTATTTCGATGGGCTCAATTGGCATGATTTCTTAATTTTTTACTAAATAATTATTTAATATTATTTCGCTTCTGTTTGTAGCTCTGTCATTACAGTTAAGGGATCTGGCATTTAGGCAGAATTAGACATACAGCTTTCACTCCCTCCAAGGGGAAAATGCACTCATCCCAGACACCTACGGTATCAAGAGTATTGAGCTCTGGTAGGACTCTTTTCATGTTATCGAGTCCTGAATGATTTGGTATGTTAAAGTATATACCCATGTATGTTCATACCCATCTGGACGTCGTGGCAGTAAAGCTTTCTGCATAACCTTTGTGCATTCAGATTCAACTGCTTTATGGTTTTCTAGAGGTATTTTGGAACAATACCAGTAGTAGATAGAATTAAAGGTACTCTCTTGGCTGATAAAGGTACTCTCTACTTGGCAATTTTTTGTTGTATTTAGCACGCAAATTATTGGTGTTGGGTACCGCCACATCAATAAGTGTTGTTGTCTAGTAAGTTTATTAACTAGTATGATATCCAGTCTATTATGTATCACTGGTTAGTCTGTGAGCATAGTGCAGTCCCAGTATAGCTTGTAGTTGTCATTTTCGAGCATTATGTCAGGGACGTATTGATAATAAGAAAGATGATCGGTTTGTAGTCGAATCTCTTGGTTTTATATTTTATAATATTATTGATTAGTGTTTGCATGACCCACAAATGGTATACTGGGTTTAATCTTTTTCTTAATGCACAATTACATCGAGAAATTCTTCTTCTTTAAGAGCCCTGTCCGTTGCGAACGTTGGCTATTAACATGGCAATTTTCTCCTGCCTGGCCTTCGCTTACTGTCTATTTTTCCCTGGATAATCAATTGTAGCAGACGGTACTTATCGTGTCTCAATATGTGGCCTAGATATTCAAGCTTTCTTTGATTAATTGTATTCACGATGTCTTTCTCCTTTTCGATTCTTTGGAGTACCTCTATGTTCGTGACATGTTCGGTCCAGGATATACGAAGAATGCGTCGGTACACCCACATTTCAAATGCTTCTAGTTTTCTCGTTAGCGTCTCCGTCAGCGTCCAGGCCTCCACGCCATACAGCAAGATCGGAAAAATGTAGCATTTAACTATACGTAGTTTTAGGGGAAGAGACAAATCCTTGCTTATGAGGAGCTTCTTCATATTGCTAAATGCTGCTCTAGCTCTTTTTTGTTCTTGCCTTAATTTCTAATGTCTGTTCCCATTTTGCATTTACGTTGATGCCAAGGTACACATAAGATTCTACATGGTCAATTAGTATGTTACTTATCCGTAATTGTCGAGCAGGTTGCTGCTTTTTGCTTATCAGCATCCACTTTGTCTTCTTGAAGTTGAGGCTCAGGCCGTATTTCTCACTTACTGAATAAAGTCTTTCCATTACTTGTTGTAATTCGTCTATGGTACTGGCAAGGATCACCGTGTCGTCGGCATATCTTATATTATTCGTTAACTCGCCGTTTGCATTTTCCATACATTTGGTAAATATTTCCTCGGAATACATATTGAATATAAGTGGGGATAATATACACTCCTGACGGACACCTCTTTTGATCTGCACGCTTTCAGTGAGTTCGTTGCCAATTTTTGCTCTTGCTGTTTGACCCCAGTATAGCTTTGCCACAATTCGAATGTCCTTGTCGTCAATACCTGTCTTTAGCAGAATACCTATCAATTGTTCATGATTGACATTGTCAAATGCTTTTCTAAAATCTACAAAGCACAAATACACGTCCTTATCAACGTCTCTACACCTCTGTATAAGCACCTGGAGAGTGAAAATTGTTCCTCTAGTTCCAAGTGCTTTCCGAAAACCAAACTGCGATCTATCAATATTTGACTCACATTTATCATATATTCTTCTATGAATGATCTTAGTGAACGCTTTAGTGATATGATTGATCAAGCTTATAAGCCGGTAGTCATCGCAAATCTGGGTTTCTTCGGGATTGTAATAAATGTTGACTGTAGCCAGTTCTCCGGGATTTTACCGCTATTATATATGTTGTTAAAAAGTATAACTAGATTATCAAGGAACTGTTTGTCTGATTTACATAGGATCTTTAATATTTCGCAGGGTACATTGTCCGGACCTGCTGACTTATTGCTTTTTAGCGCTGCAATGGCATCTTCTATCTCCGATTTAAGGATTGAAGGTCTTGTTTCTCCTTCTCCATATAGGTGATCATCAGTCCTGTCAGATGCAAATAATTTTTCCATGTATGATTTCCATGTTTTTAAGATCGTTGATGGCTCCGAGATAGGATTTCCATCGCTATCTTTTATGCTGTTGGGTGACTTATTAAATTTCCTCTTGTTTGTCATCGATTTTATTTTTTTGTGCATATTGTAACTGTCGTATTTTCGTTCGTAAATACAACGAATCGAGACTTCGACGTCATCGAGAAATAGAAAAATAAAACTCCACAAAAAAACAATAATACGCCGAGTCTTAACATAGTTTAGAGACCTGGACTCTAACAAAAAGTAATGAAAATATATTAGGATTTTTCAAAAGAAAAGTACTAAGGCGAATCTATGGAGCAGTGAATGACAATGGAGTGTGGAGAAGATCCTTCTCAAATATTATATTCAGTTATATTCTATTCAATTTTTATACATTTAGTTGATATCGACATTCACGTTTTTCATTAGCTTACACTGTTTCTTTCGTAATATTGTAAATATGGTCTAAAATTATATTCATAGACAATGACAAAGTGTAATTCAAAATATATTTTTATACTGATATTGATATCGTGATATAACATCGTGAATATTTTACAGGTCGTACCAGCTTCAAAACCTACCTCTCTAACTAACTGTACGCTTAGAACGGTCAACAATCAAACGTCAGAAACCGTTGAAGTGGAATGCAGAGCTGGATACGATGGAGGTCTTCCACAACGTTTCGTCCTAGAGGCATACGATGCACACACTATGAGGTTAAGACTGAACCAAACGCTAAGCGAAACTGATGTCCCGGTATTTAGGCTAGACATTGGAGAGATGTTGCCATCACCACCTTCATTAAGGATAATTGTATACGCTGAAAACGCGAAAGGGAAAAGTGAAAAAGTAGTTATGGATGACATTTTACTAAACGATGCCGAGAAAAGAACAGGTAAGAGAAGTTAACAGTCCGCTAACTTTTATAGCTAAGTTGTTATGCCATGATCAATGTCTTTCTATTAAATGAATAATTTTTAAAATTTCTAAACTTTAAGTTTTTTTAAACATATTGAGGTGATATAATTTTTGTAGTCAACAGGAAACTGTCATCATTTCTTCATATTGGTTTTACACTTTTACAAACCGACTCGAAAACAATTAAGATTTTTCCACCCAGGGTAAGAAGAAGGCTACCAGAGCAAAGTTCCTCTTGATAATTCAGATGGCGAGTAATAGCTTCTTTTTATGGGCAAGACGAGTTTTTCATGGTGTATCTTGCAGATGTGTTGATAAGGCCAGAAAGCTTTTTCTTGTGATTAGTCTTCATGCTGTAAGTTGGTAGTAATGAAACCAATGTCGCAAATTTAGAGTCTATTTATTTAGTTTAATATCTCTAGCTACTTCTTTTCGGATATCACGTAAAGTGATACCTACGATAGGGTATAGCTTATGGATGGGTGTGGGTCTCAAACATTACCTGATCATTGAAAAGTATAGTGTTGAAGGATTTAATTACATCATTGATAAACGCAGATAATACAAGTGAGTTTACTGTCTAATGTAATGTTATATAATTTTTGGAGAAGTCTCCAGTAATTTAGGTTATCGTAAGCGATAATGTGATATAAAAATACCGCCCTAGATACCAGATGTCTTTCGTACCCATCTTTCATGTGTTGGCTAAGATTTAGTATTTGTGAGATACATAATCTTTCCAGTTTAAAACCACTTTATTTTTTATTAGTTTTTAGTCTATTCTAGATGAAATTCTATCAAAGAATATGCGCTTAAGTATTTTGAATAGGTGACAGAGCATAGCTATTGGCTGATAACTTTTGAGGTCAATGAGGTCAATGGGATTTTTGCAGTTTTGATCACCTTTTTTACAGTGATATATACTTAATTGGAAGACTCGTTATCTTGGTGTGATTGGTAGGCAATTTTTAAAAAAATGTATTCATTAACCGGCCGCTCATCTTTACGACAAGTTGTTTATACACTAGTTCTTACATAAGACTATTTACATATATGGGTTGGGACTAAAGGAAATCAGTATCGAATTATGATAGATGGCATGCTATATAGTCCCAATAGAACTAATTTTTGCAATTTAAAAATGGTAATTGTAGTGGATATTATAAAGAAGGATAGCTTAATGCTATCCTTTCTTTTGACGCAGGTAGAAAATTTTAATAGCCTCTACAATACTTTAGATTATGGAAGGTAGGATGTGGGGTGGCCTGCGAGATTATTTATCTCACCTATTAGTCAATTCACGGGAGGGAACTAGTTCAAAGGATACCACCAGATAGTGACATCTGGGGGAAAAGTAAGCATTTGTCTTACTTAGACAGAGACGTTACCACATTCATTGCAACGATTGGTGAGTCCCTAATATTAACAAAAGATGAGCAGCGAGGTTTTCTTTCTTTAAGTATCGCCTTCCGTTAAGCCCATAGGATGCAAATACTTATTAAGACTACAGTGCTAGCCAGCTGATACTACTATCACGGTAATAATTCTTTAAAGGTGGGTTAGTAGGTTTACTGTAAATTGTTTAATGAATTATTTAGCCTGTCTTTGTTCTGGTGCATTTCTCTACTATTCTGAAGACTTACCTTTTTATTAATGGCTGCTTAATGAAGAATTGTTTTATTAATGGCTACTAGTTTGTATGTATTCGCATTGCCAAAGGAGAGCTCCGGGCTAATTACTGACGTACAAACCTTTATGCCCTGTAACCCAGGTTGGTGTTAATATATTTCCACTTAAAACTTGAGAGAGGGAATGCAAACAGTACCACATCTACCTTGAATTAACCTGCTTAGAACTAAAGACTTCTAGGACTGATTAACTATCAGAATAGATCGACATTGAGTAATTCTCAAGTATTATTGCACATTTTTGTATAGCTCTTACTTCCGCCTGAAATATGATGTGATATATTTTAAAACTTAATTGGATTTATTTCCTTCGTCTTATGCCGATTGTATATATACTAACCCCTGCACCTTTATCAGTTTTTAAACTGTCTGTTATCAACTTAATTCTCCCATTTCTTTTATTGGACGGACCAGTTTCCCATTAATTCTTCTTTAGTTGTATAATGTTCAAATATTTATCAAAGCTGTATTTTTGAACCATTCGGTCTACAGGTACACCCAGAACGGAGTCGGCCTTTATCTCTGGATATTACCTTGTTTGATCCGCTCCTTGCCTTATGGTGATAGAAGCGTGACCTTATATTAGCCTGTGTGCTGTTGATGTAACCGCTTCCTTTGTAAATATATACAAAGGTAGTAGGCATAACAACACCTATAACGCATCCATAGGGACAATTTTCATGGCTCCAGTGATACTCCAGCAAGCCTTTGTGTGCCACTAGGCAGTTGAATCGTTCCAAACTGTTGTGACCTGGTCCAACATACCACTAAACAGTAGGTCATTACAAGCTTTATAACCTTTATGTATAAGCAAAGGTTCATTTTTGTCTTTCACTTGCATTGTAGTATTGTTTTATTAAGACGGTAAGCTATTTTAAATTTCTAGTAACTTTTGTGCAGGTATATTTGTATATGTCTTTATGTTTAAAAAAACTATGTGATATTTTTAATTGGTGGTTTTCACATATGTCGATCATTCTCTCACGATTATGATTCCTGGTAATTCTCGGTAGGGACCTATTACTTTGTTATTTACTTTGACCTTTACTCTGGCTCTTTAAGTCTCCTGTAATTACCAATTCTCTTATGTTTGCAATTCTTGTAATTTCTTCATTATCATTTTTAAAACCTCATATTTCTTATTGTTTGTGTGATTACGTATATACCAATACCAATCAATACCATAAATACCAATTTCAATATTGTCAAAATTTTCATATCGCTAATACCGAGAAAACCAATCGACTTTCATGGAGTATGAATAACGTATGGGCTTTTGTTACAAAATCAAAAAAAGAATCTCGTATTATCTAAGGAAAATTAAATCACTATATAGCACCACAGCCAAACTTACCATTGGCTGTTGTGCTATATAATTTATACATTTTGTTTAAAGTGAACTAATTGTACAAATATCTCGATTCTGGATGAAATTAAACCGGATCAGCGTCTCTCCAGTACCGTTTACTCTAGCATTTTAAAGTTCTTTGGCCATATCCATCGAAGTGATCACAAAATGGAGCGGTTGGTGGTCCAAGGAAGACCTCAGACTCGACGCCAACGCGGAAGATCTCCACAGCGATGGGCGGACATTACTAAAAAGCTTCTCAATAAACAGTATACTGAGGCAATACATATAACTGATGACCGCGACCAGTGGAGAAATATTATCAATCAAACTGTCCGAGCTACTGAAGCCCAATTATGAACCACAACACATCTACTAAGATGTTAATGACTGTGATGATGATGAATTGAACAATACTTAGATTTAGGAAAAAATTGTAATGATATAATTTTTATTTTATTCTTTTGCAGATGGTAGCACGAACGTAAGCTTAGTGCCCTTAGCTGGATTATTAACGGGTTCTCTTCTAACTTTGGGTTTAGCAGTTTTGGTAATAGTAGTTGTAGCAGTTCGACGAAAAAGAGAATGTGATGGTAGGATGCACTGTCCACACCATTTAAATATCGGTAAGTGTATTGACTGTAGGAACAAATTGACAATATGTGGTTATCTTTGAAACTATCTTTATAACAATGTATAATAATAATGTAATTATGTACGTAATTATAAATTAAGTCGCATGAAAATTAAATCAAACAGACCTATACTACGATTTGATGAAGTTTCATTCTATTAATTTTTAAAAAAACATAACATTTCATAATATACTACAAGTATCATGCATAAAAATATGCCAAAATAATATTATCTAATAACTAAACGTATATTAGAAAAATCAATAGAGTAAAATAACAAGAGCACAAACAGAAAATAATAGTAGAAAATAGGGAAGAGAAAAAACGAGTGTCTTGTGAGTCTACAAATAAAATTCTAAACGGAATAAGGAAAGAGGCGACCCTGGTCGTGGACTTAGACCTAAACGTAGACGTAGACTCTGTGTTTCTGTGGGAAACAGGTCTTAGTGACTCAAATCAGAGTCTTAAAAACTAACATTCAGCACAACTAGAACTATCTAATTGAAGTGTTCTTAAATATCTTCAAGGATCAAATTATTTACTAATAATCTTTTTAATGGTACAATTTATTCAAAATGAATCTACGAGAATACGTAAAATATAGAATTTTAACAAAGCAGGTTGTAATTTGTACTCATTGAACTTTACATTTTTAAATACTTCCACAATATATAACGAACTAATTATAAACTTATATTTACCAGCCAATTTATCAGTCACAATAACTGAGAGCTCTTTAATAAACACGATATCCCAAAACTGTGAAGAGATACTGCAAAATACACACTTAAGGTCAATTCATACACATCATTCCCGTCATAGTCTCGGCGCCGAACCGGTCCTGTTTGGTCACAGAACTATCAACTATCTGACAGCTGGGAAACTGTTCGTCGCCTGATGAATATGAATGCCGGTGCCATATTTCTATTAAAGAACATTTTGAATGACGGATTGTTTGGTTCGGCGCCAGGACTGTGACGAGACGTGACTGATGTGTCTGAATCGACCTTTTAGCTTTCACATTACAAACAATTACACGTTACGGGAAATGCCTCCACGAACACGATATTGGCTGAAATTTTTAGCTTAGAATGTATAATTTCGAAAAACATACTTGTGTAATGGAAAAGAAGCAGTTTTAAATGTTGCGATCGTTGTTAATGTGGACGGCGTTATGCATCACTAGACCAACAGCCATTTTCTCAAATTTTGGATTATGGCTCTTTCTGGTGGGAAATAGCATAAACTATCTACAGAATAAATCCCATTAATCTATTGGTAACGGTTAACCAGATGTATTTAAAAAGACCAAGTTCCTTTCTTCTTATTCTGAATTTTGAATTTTGCATCACTAGACCAAGCGACTAATTTTGTGTAATAGTTTTGCATCAGTAGACCAAGCGCCTCTTGCGAGCGTTTTAATGATTGTAAATCGAATATTTGGCAACATACGTACATGAACGTTGTTGACAATAACTTGTTGAGGCGTTTAAATTAAGAAGTAATGGTTGTTATTGCTTAAATTTTTCTATAACATAACCTGTAACAAACCAAACCCCTAAAGCTACGCCTATAAGCGACGTGTCTCAGTGACCTAGTATACGGGAGGTCCAAATAGTTGAGTTCTTCTAGATGTGGAACCCAAATCTAGAAAACTACGTAAAATACACCGCTTTTAAAGTTGTATTCAAAACAAGAGTTGCTTCACACAGAGAAATGTATGTAAAGAATCAAAACAGTTCTGTATGTATCTTTGAAAGTGTAAGTGTTTGTACAAGATTGGTTTGGATAATGCCAAAAAAAAATTTGATAAGTCTTACAATGTTGAATCTCATGATGCTCAAAGAGCTATAATTTGTGTTCAAATATTTCCGAAGTCCCAATAAAGCGTAAAAGAACAAAAACCATTAACAAAAGAAATACTACAAGGATATACACAATATCCGCTGTGACAGTGTGTAAACCTTTCTTTTTACATACCTTGAGAATATCAAGCTGCAAAGTCAATGCAGCAATGAAAGCTATGAAACGTCAAATGGGTGTTCAAGATTGTCGTGGTCAAAGTGGAGGTCATAACAAAATTACCGATAATCGTGTACAAAAAGTAATTGAGCACATAACGAAATTCCCTATGTATAAGTCACATTACAAAAGAGCTAACCCAAAAAGAGTATACCTAACAGAAGACACAACATTAAGTAAAATGTATGGATTGTATATTGAAGAAGCAGACAATGATCCTGTTAAATTTTTGTTTCACAAAAAATATGTTTAACACGATTTAATCTTTAAAGAAAAAAGTTAAAAAAAGATACTTGTAGTAGATGTGATTGGTTCGAATTAGAAATTAAAAATTGTGCTGAAAATGCACAATCAATAGACCAAACGACCTACATGTCGATTGGTATATTGATGTATAATACCATTATACAATGTGGCGAAAATCGTAAGTCGACCAAAAGCCTTTTTATTTTTTTTTTTTTTCTTATTTTGCTTCAACATTAGCAAGTTACTATTTCGCAAATAGAGAAAACAAAAAACTGTCTTCGAAAACAAAAAATTACGTCTATTGTATTATATACTGAATTTTAATAGAGTAAAAACTTTGAAGTCAAATATCTCAAAATCAGTTTTTGGCGCTTGGTCTAGTGATGCTTAACGCCGTCCATGTGAAATTTAAAATTCAGCGTTTTTAGACATATTTCAAATGCTATTTCTTGCCAAAAACTCAAAAAACCAAAATTTTGTACTATAGGTATTGAAAATTATACTCTTAAAGAGAAAATTCCATACTGACCTTTCAATGCAAGTGATAAATTGCATTGATCTCATGAGAATCATAAAAAAATGACAAAATCGCGGACCGTTTATTTATTTAACACCTTTACAAAACTGATTATATATGCCTATTTTACCGTCCGTTCAATACAATTTTTATTTTAAATTCATTTCGCGCTCGTAAATGACGTTCAAAATCGCCGATGGCTTCAAGCGTTGTTTCTGAGAGTGTTATTCTATAAAAAAAAAGTGCTAATAAAAACACAAAATTGTGGACAAATATCCCAGCTACATTTTTTACTTGAAACATTTTTTCTACGGTCTACAAATTCTTGGTAAATTGATTTTTCCGTTCCCCATCCCCTACGAGGAAATGTTTTAGGGAGAAATCAGCGGTAAAAGTGGTACACTTTTTGTATATTTTTTGGGATTTTCAAATTGACATTTTCAGCAAAATTTAACTTGTCTGTATGATTCTTAGGAAGGTTCATTGACATATTCGTCTGTGACGACTGGAGTAAAAAACTACAAAAAAAAATAAAATTGTGGTTTATTCTTTTAAAATAAAGAAATTAACAAAAAAACTACAAAAAAATGGTTTCAAAATCATTAAAATATCCTTATATTATTACGTGTTTATAATTGGTAAAATTACTTTACAGATGCTTCTAAACAAAACGCAAAATCCCGACAAAGCTCCATGCTGGAAATCAATACGGGGGATAATAGGTACGTCGTGGCCTACACCTTAAAACCCGCATCTGACTGTGCACCGTCACCAATTCAACAAACGACAATGTCACCATCGGATCCCTATAGACAACCAGATATATTGAACACACCAAGAGGTGAGTGTCAATGTATGTGTCGTTGTCATCGTCCAAAGTTTTCAACATTTCGGCATTTTGATAACGTTTAGTAAGATCTTGTACGATATCATGTCTTCATTTTAGATGGTAGAATTATTTATTTATTTATTTATGTTCTTTACTTCCTTTATGTGTATTTAGAATATGTAATTAATTTAGAGATAGATACTTGTTTTACCAGTAAAAAACTCAATTGTTATGTTTCATTGTTATGCTCATATTTGCTTTCGCAACATATACAAATGTATGTAAAGCTTAAATAATAGTTTATGGAAATGTCAAAACTTTTATTGTTGCTGTCAGAGCCGTCTCAATATATTATTTTAATAACCATTTTATATTAACGTAACTAAACAGTATTCAGTTTCCTTTTTCAGTACATCCAATATACAACATCCTCCACCAAATAAAAAGTTCAATTCATGATCTAGTGGACTACTTTTGATCACCAAAACCAAATATCTCACTATCCGAAGGGGCATCCATTTTAATCAAAAGAATGAAATATTTCTCTAGTTTTATAATATTTAAGACTGTCCTATTGCAATCATTTATTCACCATGTTATTCACAGTTGACATAGAACACTTCACTTTCAACTTAGGTTGTGAGCACCACTAACAGTTATTTGTTGACCAACCAGATGTTCGAAAAAAAAGCTGTAATGCGACATTTTGATGATTAATGTAGTCTTATCGTTAAATTAGTTTCATGGCTGAACTTGATTTTGTTCGAAAAATCTGCATATACTTCTTCTACTTTTTGTATTTGTTGTTGATCTGACGATCTGTTAATTCTGTTTCTGAAGTGGTTCTTGAGAGTTAGACTGCTAGCTCTTTTTGATTATTTGAATGTTTTCCTTGTTTGTTCGGTTCTTGATAGGATTTCTTTTTTTGGATTATACTGACTATTGATATTTGCTCCCAAATATTTTATGGAATTTACCTGTTCTATTTTTTGACCCTTGGTGTACACATGTAAATGTATTGGTGTCTTTGAAAATACTAAGGTTTTAGTTTTGGAAACGTTTAGATGAAAATTACGCATTTATTATATTTTGTAGTTCTTGTGCGTTGCTTGCTATTAAGACGTTATCATCAGCATATCTGACGTTGCCTATGCTGATTCCGTTAATCTTAATTCCGCCTTATGCTTTTCTGAATATAGACTATAAATACAAATTAAACAGTAGCAGTGATAAGACGCAACCCAAAGATATACAAATCCTCGTCGGATTTGTATATCTTCGGATGTTGTGTGTTCTATTTCAATTGTTGCCGTTTGGTACCCGTAAAGTTCTGAGATAATTCGCAAGTCTTGTTCTTCTTCTTCTTCACGTGCCATCTCCTCTAAGAAGGTTGGCAACCATCATGGCAATTCACACTTTCGACGCCGCTGCTCTAAAGAGGTCAGCAGAAGTGCAGTTAAACCAAGCTCTCAAATTATTCAACCAAGAGATGCGTCTTCTTCCGCGACTCCTTCTACCTTGTATTTTTCCTTGCATTATTAATTTCAACAAGTTATAACGTTCGCCCCTCATAACATGTCCCAGATATTGCATTTTTTTGAGTTTAACTGTATTTAAGACCTCTTTATCTTTACCCATTCTTCTCAACACCTCGACATTCGTGACTCTATCTACCCAACTTATTCCTAATATCCTTCTGTGGGCCCATAACTCGAAGGTTTACAATCTGTTCGAAACATCTTTCTTTAAAGTCCAAGCCTCCAACCCATAAAATAATATGGAGAACACGTAGCATCTCAGAAGTCTTATCTTTAAAGAAATTGAAATGTCCCTGCTGCAGAGTACTTTTTTCAGTTTGTTGAAAGAATTTCTTGCCTGTCATATTCTTGCCTTAATCTCTTTTATGTACTCATTATTTTCATTAATTATTGTACCCAGATATTTATATTTTTCAACTTTTTTAATTTGTTCTCCATGTATTGTTATGTTTTCTTGGCGCTGTTGGGCTTTTGTAATTACCATAATTGTGTCTTTTTTGTGTTTAGGGACAGTCCGTTTTCTTTACTGACTTCTACCACTCTGTCAACCATTTGTTGTAAATCCTCAAGACATTCCGCTAATAAAATAGTGTCGTCGGCAAACCGTGTATTATTGATTGGTCAGTCATTTACTTTTATTCCCATAGTTAGTTCTTCTAGTGCTTCCTGGATTATTTCCTCTGAATACAAATTAAACACAGTAGGAGACAGGACACAGCCCTGCCTGACGCCACTCTCAATCTGTATTTCATTTGAAAAGACGTTGTTCTCTTTTACCACAGAGCGATCTGATTTTAATAGATAGCGCTAATAATCTTGATGTCCCTCATATCTAAGTTTTTCTTTTCAAGTAATTTGATAAGTAGGTTGAGACTGACCTTATCGAAGGCTTTGTTGTAATCCAAGAAACACATATATACTGGCTAATTTGCATTCATACACCTTTGCAAAAGTACATTCACAACGAACAGGGCTTCCCTCATTCCCAGTGCATTTCTAAATCCAAATTGTGTGTCACTTATGTCCTGCTCAAGTTTGATGTGTATTCTCCGGTGTATAATTTTAAAAATATTTTGAGCCTATGACTCATTAAACTTATTATCCGGTGGTCTTAGCATTCTTTTGCATTTGGTTTTTTTGGTAGTGTTATGAATGTTGATATCAGCCAATCTTTAGTCTACTTGTCTTGTTCATCTACTTCAATTGTTCTCAGAATTTCGATCATCTTTTGATGGTAAACGCAGTCAAATGCTTTTATATATATAGTACAGGTTGTTTACAACTGTAGTTGTTTTCCTGTCCCTAGTTTCCATCGTTTCCTATCTCGGGTGTCGGCTTCATTTAGCTGTCTTCCTTCCATGGCTTCATTCACGTCATCTCGCCAGCTTCTTCTTGGACGCCCTCTTTTCCTTCTTTCGGTTGGGATCCATTTTAATATTTTCTTTGGCCACCTCTCGTCTGCCATTCTGTTTACATGACCGAACCAAGTTAGTTGTTTTTTCTGGACTTCATCTATAATGTCTTTTTCTTGCTCCATTCTACGTTTTATTTCTTCATTGCGGATTCTGTCCATCCCTGTCAATCTACAGTTTCTTCTCATAAAATCCATCTCGGTAGCTTGTAATTTTTTCCTGTTTCTTTTACTAGTGTCCCATATCTCTGCTCCGTATGTTACCACCGGCTCGACCATCGTCTTATATATTCGTTTTTTCGTCGTTCTTGTGATTTTTTTATCCCAGAGAATGGAGTTTAGGCATTTGGTAATGTTTCTGCCTTTGTTTATTCTTATATTTATTTCTTCATGGCTATTTCCTTCTTTTGTAAACATTACTCTTAGGTATTTTACTCTATTTGTTCCTTTGATTTTGTCACTCTCCAATGTCAGGTCTTCGACTGTATTTTTCCCCACTGAGAGATATTCGCATTTTTGTAAGTTTATTGTCAGTCCACATTCTTCGTACGCTGTTTATAGTTTCCTAACCATATAGCTGAGGTCGTCTATATCTTCTGTTACCACCAGTTGGTCATCAGCGAAGAATAGTGTATAGAGAATATCCTCATCTATTTGTATTCCCATATTTCGGCATTGTCTTTGCCACTTTTGTAGAGATCGATCCAGATATATTTTAAACAGCGTAGGTGATAAACAACATCCCTGTCGTAGCCCTTTCGTAGTGTTGAATTTTTCACTAAGTTTGCCACCTATTTTAATTGATGCGGTGTTGTTTACATACCACTTTTGAGTTGCTATTATTAACGAAGGTTTTATTTCCATGATTTGCATTTCACTCTATAAATTATTTATCGGCACGTTATCATATGCCTTTTCAAGATCTATCAGGGCTATATGTGTTTCTTTGTTTCTTTGTTGTCGCTTTTCGATTAATATTTTAAGTGTAAATAGATTATCTATAGTCGATATTCCAGCTCTGAATCCGCATTGTTCTTTTGGTTGTTTCATACGAATGTCTTCTTCTATGAGGTTTCTAAGTATTCGGGAGTACAGTCGTCCTATAGTGGGGATGACAGTAATTCCTCTATAGTTTCTGACATTGTTTCGTGCTCCTTTTTTGTATATTGGGGTTATATAGGCCTCACGCCATTCTAACGGGGTCTCTTCTCCATTCAGGCATCGTTGGAACAGATCTTTGAGCATTTCCCACAGTTTAGCTGAGCCATATTTAATAAATTCTGGTGAGATGTTTCCTGAGCCTGGCGCTTTTTTAAGTTTAAAAGATCTTATCGCTTCTACGATATTTGTCATGTTCAATTCAATGAATTCTGATCGTATGTCTCTGCTTGCATTTTCGTATTGAAAATTTTGTCGTCCTTCTTGTAGTAACTGTTTAAAGTAGTCCACTCAGTATTTTTCTGTTATGTTACTTAAATCTAATTTATTGTTGGTTGACGTTTTCATAGATTTTAGCGTTCTCCAGGCTTCTGAACTTCTCGATCCTCCAATCATTTGTTCTATGTATTCGCCTTTCTTTTCCCAAGATCTATTTTTCCTTTTTGTTACTTCCGTCTTCACCAGTTTATTTAGGTTTTTATATATTTCTTTAGAGGGGTCGTCATTTTTATCTAGATATGTTAGGTATGCTTCTTTTTTCTTCTTTATCATTTCATCTATTCCCTCATCTCACTAATATGGTTTTTGTTTTGCGCGTCTTTGAGTGCCTATTGCCTCTTCTGCTGCTTCTTTAATACTGTGTACTATGTACTTGTATTCTTCTTCTATTGTTCTATTTTCTATTACCAGTTTTCCATCTAACCTTCTTTGGTATAAATACTGCATGCTGTTATTTTCTAGACTTTGTAGATTATAGTGATCTTTATTTGTTGTTACGTTCTTATTTACATTTGCTGTTTCGTATTTTACCAATCTCGGTATGGTCATATTTCCGATTACTAGGTAATGATCACTTCCACAGTCAGCTCCTCTCTTTACCCTAACGTCTAAAACTGTTAGTGTTG